TTTAACGTATACGAAAATAATGTTATGTGATGATGATGATGATGATACGTGTGTTATGTACATCATTCGTTTGTTTTACCGACACCTCCTACAATGTTGTAAGCCCGCAGTTGGCCATTTTCTATTTATTTTGTTGACTTTATTTTATTCATTTGTGTACATGTATAGGCTTTTACGCAATACTTGCTTTTTTCCCCTGAAACTTCTGCTCGAGCTTCCTTTTACGGAATTATCTATAGCTTATATAATGTTAACTGTAAATGTACAAACATGAGCCTCGTATGTGTTTTTAGTAACATTTATTTCACATCGCTATTTACAATCTTTCAAACAGTTTTTTTTTTTTTTTCTTCTTCTTCTTTTTCTTTATATTCGCAGAATATTTTCAGTAAGGCTCAGGAACCGGGATGTTGGTACTTGGGGCCTCGAGCATTTGGCGTAACAGAACGCTGATTTCCTAAAAATGTAAAAATTGCAATTATTGATAGTAAATAGTTCGTAATATACACATTTTACATATGTTAACTATTCGCGTCATGCAAGCCGACGAGCCATGGCCAGTAATGGTAATGATATACTCGGTATACTTGGGTACCCATACATTTTATTCAATAATACGCGTGCTCGAGTTATGTCTTGATGACGTATAGGTCTGATTAATGTTATATGTATGTTGTAGACACCAGTAGGTACTCAAGTATCGAGTCGCGAGATTTGATCAGGTTTGGTACGACGAGAGAAAAAAATGTTTGTTTGCCGGGCCGCGGTGTCCTTCGGAGACAACATTTTGCGAGAGAGGAGTGCAAAAGTAGCGGTGGCGCGGCGATGGCTTTGCTCACTTGCTCGCGTTGAAGCCGCAACCGATCGACGAGCGGCTCGGCGGCTTCTTGGCTCGACTCGTCGACGCCGGCCCCGGGCTCCCCAGAGTCCTGGGGGAAGCGGGTCACGTAGATCTGCCCGATGGCGTCCAAAGTCGTGGTGGGCTTTCCAACGGAGTACCCCAGATCTATCGCGTCGAAGGAGTCGCTGCCCGCGACCACCGAAAGCGGCTTCTCGTAGTCCGTCACGCTCGCCCTTCTGCAGTACATACAAACGGCTTTTCTCACATCTCTGGACGAGGTATCATATTATAATCACAGCAGGTGTAAGCATGGTTCATTTCACTATCGGCCAAAGCGGCTATTGCGGAGAACGGAAATTAATTCAAATGAATCGCTGGAGGAGTAGGGGTCTTACGCGACTTGGCCCCGGAATCCGTACTGCGAGAGCAGCTCTTTGGTCTTGCGCAGCAGGTGAGCGTCCTTGGCCGAGTGGTAGTGTAGACCCGCGCCCAACGTGTGAGCGGTCGCTCTTAGTACTTGGCCCACGAGCTCGCGGTCGTCGACGTGCAACTCTCGGAACGCGTCGTACTTGCCCCCGATCAGGCACACCTTCATTGGGAACAGATCGGCCGTCGGCTCTTTTAATGTCTTTTTCTTCTGCTCCAGCATTTCCCGCACCAATTCGTCCGAGTAGCTTATTTTCATGGCCTTCCTGCACAAGTTTTTTCATTTCCTTTTATAACATGAATTTTTTTTTTTTTTTCTGCCCAATTTCACCTTCACCTGTGAGATTAATTAATGCATATACCCCCTCCCCCCTTTGTTATACCTTATACAACAGACAAAGGCATGCCAAGTTGTCGATTTTATAAATACGAAATTATTTTATTAGCTCAGAAAAGTCAATGAGTCGAAAACAAAAAAACAAAAAAATTGTATACTATATGAGCCCTGATCGTACGCAATTTTGTTTTCGAGAAAATCTTAAATGAAATTTTGGTTTGGATTTTTTTTCTCTTTTCTTTAACAAATTTTTCCCTTTTTTAGTAACAACCAATGCGTGCGTAGGAGTGCCTCACATTTTTGTTAGAGCATGGTGCAACCACTTATAAATCATCTGTTTTCGATTTAAAACGATTTTTTTATCTAGCATGGGGGTGAGCCGAGACGCTCACAAGCTGTGTATACGTGAAAATGCATCCATGTATGTACGATATATATATATATATATATATATATATAGGTACTTTGTTGCGATGATATTCGTGGGGATGGCGATGTTGAGGTTCAGATGGTTGATGAGCTAAAATATGTTACAATGAGTGTACTATCGAAAGCATATGTATATGGGTGGAATCGAGGAAAATTGATGATGCACGTATATAACTGAAAACAAGAGAAAATGATTGAATTGATAAAAACAGCGTAGTGGGCACAGATTCGAAGAAGAAAGGCTTACACGAAAATGCACAGATCTTTGGACCAAGTGAAAAAAAAGGGGGTGGTGGAAGCATACGGTGAGACCGAGAGTGCTGGAAGTTCCTCAAGGAGGACGTCAGTCATTTTATTAAAAAGATGTTCGTGTTGGCGCCACGAAGCGAAAACTGCTATAGCTGCAGGTAGATGTGGTAGAGAAGTGCCGCAAGAGGGTGAGCAAGTAGTAAGTATGTACCTACCTAGGTTGGCCGTGTACGGTAGAGACGAGAGTTAATTCAAGGTGGGGAAACTGACTAGGGAAGCGTACAGTACTAAGTATAGGCATGAGAGGCTCTCTCTCTCTCTCTTGCAAGGAGCACGATGGTTTCTCTCCAAGTGATTGTCAAATTAATATTACGTGCAAGCTTATATGATGCGCACACCGAGTTGTCAGAAATTCGACGGCCTCTGCGATAACTGACATTGGTACACACGTGGCTTGATTATCAAACGGTACGTATACGTGCACTCCGAAACGCGTATTGCCATACCACACTACAAGTACATTGGTGATTTAGAAACGTGTACCGATGCCGAAACAAAGCGGATTGGCATCTTTTTTTCTTTTTTTTTTTCTTCTTTGAAAAAGGAAAAAAAGGAAAAAAAGATCAGTGAGAATGGATCTGCGGGTCTGTTAAACTTGCAATTGTTTGTATAAGCAGCGCTGGTGTGTAGCTTTGAGCGCTAAAAAAATAAGCTCAACACCACCGATTCTTGACGTCAGCACGAAAATCCGCCGAGTTTTCGTATTTCTCGATAACATATTTATGTAGGTATACGTATCTAGCCGTCCTCCACTGCCCTCTCTCTCACTTTGACTCTCTGATGCAGGATCAAGGTCGGCGATACCGCAGAGCAATACCAAGAGAGAGAGAGAGAGAGAGACAGAGTCACCGCTATAATGTACCTATGTAGGTATACTTTACCTAATGCCAACCAGTGTTGTTACCTATGTATACTTAGTAGTGGTAGGTATTATTATTATTATTATTATTATTATTGTTACTGTACGCGTATGTAAGGTATACCAAAGTAGGTACTGTCCGTGCCGCGCCGTGTTCACGAAACTGGAACGATAACTCTGGCGCGGCGGTATCCATGCACAAAGTATTACATGGTATACACTCAGGTACACTGTAGTTACTAGTTAGGTAGGGTAATACACTATTGGCGATTTGAATAATCAAAAATAGTGATTAAATTACAACAGGCAAATCGAGACAAATAAAGGGCAGTCGGGGGTTCACCTATAAACCGCGTTGTAATAATTTTATTTGACATTGCAGCTGTAGTGTGGAGATTACCTACTACAGGTTAATTTTAATTCACAAGCAAGTGGGTACGTAATACCCGGACGAGGAGGAGCATTGGAGAGGAGTTGGTGGGCCTGCAATATCACCACCTCGAGTCCGCGAATTTCGAATGACCTGGTTGTCGCTCGTCCTTTTTATCTCGCTGACGCCTCTACGCGTGTGATGGGGGCCGCGCGCAATCGATAAGCTCCCTCCTATTCCCCCCCTTTTTTTTTTCTCGCCCTTCCTACCGCAGGTGTTATACCTACGACGTGTGGTGGTACCAATCACTCGGTCCGGCGTATAAGCTGATAAGTATGCATGCACGGCTCTCTGTTGTACTCGTTGCTCGCTCGAGCACAAGAATGCGCAGGTGTATAACTAGCGCGGGTGGGCCACAACAACAACAACAACAACAACAACGACTCACCTACTCCCGGACTCCTGGGCGAAGACGACCAATTTGTCGTGGTTCTCCTCCTCCTCGTCGTAGTCGTCGTTGTCGTTGTCTTAAATATAGGTGGACTCCTTGCTTGTTTGCTCGCTCACTCGCCGACCGACTCCCACTGCCGCGGCGACGACGATGGTCCCGCATCCGTGGACATCCCCGGAGCGCATGCGTTCGGACCTCCACGGGCGAGAGAAAGGTGGAGGAGGAGGAGCGCACGCGTATCAATCTCGCGCTCCCGTTGTGTCCGTATATCGGCTATCTTGTTCTTACCTTTTTCGCTTTTTTCCTCGACAACCACACGTAAGTAGGCGGGTTTAGGTGTACCTGCGAGCTTGCGTTACATTCTCTCTTCCGAGCCCAATAAGTGAGCCACCCGTGCTTTTTGGCCCGCGTCTCGCGGATGAGAGCTTTCTTTTCCGTACATCATATACCTACGCTTATACAATAAATGGACACCAGGCACGTATCCACATTCATTTTCACCACCACTGACACGTGTCATTGTTTTCTCGTATAGCAAGCAGGTACCTCCTTGGCGCACTAACTTACGAGTATGAAAACCCGTCCCACCAATTTTTAACGTATACGAAAATAATGTTATGTGATGATGATGATGATGATACGTGTGTTATGTACATCATTCGTTTGTTTTACCGACACCTCCTACAATGTTGTAAGCCCGCAGTTGGCCATTTTCTATTTATTTTGTTGACTTTATTTTATTCATTTGTGTACATGTATAGGCTTTTACGCAATACTTGCTTTTTTCCCCTGAAACTTCTGCTCGAGCTTCCTTTTACGGAATTATCTATAGCTTATATAATGTTAACTGTAAATGTACAAACATGAGCCTCGTATGTGTTTTTAGTAACATTTATTTCACATCGCTATTTACAATCTTTCAAACAGTTTTTTTTTTTTTTTCTTCTTCTTCTTTTTCTTTATATTCGCAGAATATTTTCAGTAAGGCTCAGGAACCGGGATGTTGGTACTTGGGGCCTCGAGCATTTGGCGTAACAGAACGCTGATTTCCTAAAAATGTAAAAATTGCAATTATTGATAGTAAATAGTTCGTAATATACACATTTTACATATGTTAACTATTCGCGTCATGCAAGCCGACGAGCCATGGCCAGTAATGGTAATGATATACTCGGTATACTTGGGTACCCATACATTTTATTCAATAATACGCGTGCTCGAGTTATGTCTTGATGACGTATAGGTCTGATTAATGTTATATGTATGTTGTAGACACCAGTAGGTACTCAAGTATCGAGTCGCGAGATTTGATCAGGTTTGGTACGACGAGAGAAAAAAATGTTTGTTTGCCGGGCCGCGGTGTCCTTCGGAGACAACATTTTGCGAGAGAGGAGTGCAAAAGTAGCGGTGGCGCGGCGATGGCTTTGCTCACTTGCTCGCGTTGAAGCCGCAACCGATCGACGAGCGGCTCGGCGGCTTCTTGGCTCGACTCGTCGACGCCGGCCCCGGGCTCCCCAGAGTCCTGGGGGAAGCGGGTCACGTAGATCTGCCCGATGGCGTCCAAAGTCGTGGTGGGCTTTCCAACGGAGTACCCCAGATCTATCGCGTCGAAGGAGTCGCTGCCCGCGACCACCGAAAGCGGCTTCTCGTAGTCCGTCACGCTCGCCCTTCTGCAGTACATACAAACGGCTTTTCTCACATCTCTGGACGAGGTATCATATTATAATCACAGCAGGTGTAAGCATGGTTCATTTCACTATCGGCCAAAGCGGCTATTGCGGAGAACGGAAATTAATTCAAATGAATCGCTGGAGGAGTAGGGGTCTTACGCGACTTGGCCCCGGAATCCGTACTGCGAGAGCAGCTCTTTGGTCTTGCGCAGCAGGTGAGCGTCCTTGGCCGAGTGGTAGTGTAGACCCGCGCCCAACGTGTGAGCGGTCGCTCTTAGTACTTGGCCCACGAGCTCGCGGTCGTCGACGTGCAACTCTCGGAACGCGTCGTACTTGCCCCCGATCAGGCACACCTTCATTGGGAACAGATCGGCCGTCGGCTCTTTTAATGTCTTTTTCTTCTGCTCCAGCATTTCCCGCACCAATTCGTCCGAGTAGCTTATTTTCATGGCCTTCCTGCACAAGTTTTTTCATTTCCTTTTATAACATGAATTTTTTTTTTTTTTTCTGCCCAATTTCACCTTCACCTGTGAGATTAATTAATGCATATACCCCCTCCCCCCTTTGTTATACCTTATACAACAGACAAAGGCATGCCAAGTTGTCGATTTTATAAATACGAAATTATTTTATTAGCTCAGAAAAGTCAATGAGTCGAAAACAAAAAAACAAAAAAATTGTATACTATATGAGCCCTGATCGTACGCAATTTTGTTTTCGAGAAAATCTTAAATGAAATTTTGGTTTGGATTTTTTTTCTCTTTTCTTTAACAAATTTTTCCCTTTTTTAGTAACAACCAATGCGTGCGTAGGAGTGCCTCACATTTTTGTTAGAGCATGGTGCAACCACTTATAAATCATCTGTTTTCGATTTAAAACGATTTTTTTATCTAGCATGGGGGTGAGCCGAGACGCTCACAAGCTGTGTATACGTGAAAATGCATCCATGTATGTACGATATATATATATATATATATATATATATATATATATATATGCGCCCCTTCNTCGGTACAGCCACCAAAATTGCATTACTATATATATATATACATACATAAGTTTCAAGTAACTGAAGTAACCCGGAGTGACCTAGAAATATTAGTACCATTCAGTTATGCTACTGAGACTTTTCTCAAATGTCGACATTTTTGGCCTGAAAACCGTCAAGAACCTAAAATAGCTGTATCTTTCATACATAATCCATATTTCAAGAAAATTACTACGATTCGGGATCAGTGAATTTCATGAATTTTTTTTTTCACCTTCGGTCTTCGAGACCTCCTCACTTTTCAACTTGAACCTGTATGTCCTAGATATATCTACAGCATTTGTATATGCTCAGATGTCACTATTTTTTCCATAAAAAAAGTCATTTTTTTTAACAAACAAGCAGATATATTTATGCATACATCAAACAATAAAATTAAATATTACAAAACTTTTTTCACCCAGTTTCTAACGACTCCTGAAAATTTTTTCTACAAATAAAATATACTAATCACGAAAAATTGAGTATTGCTCTGCATTATTTGCAAAAGTGCAATCGTATTGAACTTTGTATTACTCTTTGATCGGAAGACAATTTCGACATTAGAACGAAGACTGCGTTTTCGTATAATGCTAATTAGTTAAATTTAAGGATAGAAATATTTTTAGGGCATTTTGCATTGAACTTTCAAAAGGGAGGAAATTTTAGAAATCGACAGTTTAAAAAAAATTTGATAAAATTAACTGATCACAAATCATCGTCTTATTTTTGATATTTGTATTATTTACGAAGATAAGTACAGCCATTTGAAAATCTGGATTTTTTTTCAAGTCCATCATTTCGACCTCAGAGATGAATTTTTGCCTTCTATGGGTTCTGCAAAGTAAAATTTACTGTTTCATTATTTTTAAAGATATCAGAAAAAAATAAAAAATGTCTTTATTTTGTAATCACGGAATATTGGCATAAAATAATGCTACGAATATTTTTTGTCCATTTATAATTGAATTGAGAACAATGAAGAGGTCCCAAAGATCAACAGATTACGAGTCTTTTTTTTTATATCTGCATGATTTGCAACGATGCACTTATTGTGCGGTAGTTTACACATACAGGGATTTTTTCACAAAAACTTTGAAACTTATAATAAGATGTAAGGACTCTTTTTACAATTTGCTTGGTAATCTTACGTCTTTGAAACAGTATTTTCAACTATTTATCACAAATAACACGTAAAAAATCATCAATAGTTTGTTGGATATATCAAGAATTTGTGATTTTAGGCACGTAATTAATATTATTGGTATAACTTCTCCCCAAAAAAACTTCATCCACTTTCCCACCAAGTCAAACAATGTATGAGAGTAAAGGTGGATAGGTTGTGTCAGTGCATAAAAGACAGGTTGTAATTGCAGTTGTGATTCCACGAGCTTATGTAGATAATTGGATTTTTGTTATACTACGTGTACTAGAGCAATCGATCGAGGAGTAACACCTTAGAGCGTCGAGGCACTCTTCCAAGGAATTCCAAAGGATTTCCGGCTTACTTAGATCGAGCACTATCAGGATCGTTGTGTGATACGGCGAATGACTGAGGGCAGAGCCTGACATTGCAGTTGCCACCAAGGACGATGTCAGATGACCGATTTCCCACACGTGCACCACATCCTTTATCTAAATTATTACGAACATTTTGAACATTTGCTGCTTTCATTTTGTAAGGTGGATTTCAAAGTAACTCCTGTTATAATTAATTCTCATTGAACACTCACTAAACTTTTTCCAGCTTTTCTCCCGTAAGAATAATCCATGGCAAGGGTTGCCTTGGGTGTATCTTCTTTTTCTAAAAATCTGTAAATCATAGTCGTTTTTCCCTGTGCAATAATTTTAGTTTTTTTAATAAAACAAGCTTTTTGTCTTTTGGTATAAGTACTTGCCACTTCTTTACTTCCAACGATGATGAGTGACTTTTCGTGACTTTCAGTAGGATCAGTTTTTCTTCGTTTTTCTTCTTCTGTGGCAATTTTCAAGGCTAACTCTCTGGTATTCTCTCGATTTCTATAATTATTTCGAGAATATTTCAAAATTTCCTGATGGCTACCAATTTATTTTTCATAAAAACTAACTATTTAAGTTGATTGTATTTTATAAGAAGACACTAAAAGAAAGAAAATGTTCAAAGAAGAGGAGAAATTTACTTGTAACTAGCAAATAATGTATTCATATTTAATTCAATGATGAATAACCAAAATATTTACAACATATGTTAAAAGTCTATTTAATTACTACTTACACTACTTTGCCAGACATGTCAGAAACAAAAAATAAAGTCAGGTGCAGAGAAATAACAAAACATAAAAGCCAACAATACAATAGCACTTGCAAGATAAAAGTGGTACATCCATCTGTTTTCATGTTTGTCGTCATAGCAACTCTATCCTCCTATTCACGCTCCAAATAAAATTTGTTAAATAAGAATTTTACACGATGTAATGTCTCTTTCATAATAATACTTTTTTTATCTATAGAAATGTATGTACATTAATAACGTAACAATAAACAATCTTTAACAAAAGATTTAGTAAAATATGGAAAAACTTGACTAGATTTTTTTTTTTTTTTTTTTTTTTTTTTTTTTTTTTTTTTTTTTTTNTTTTCAAGTGATATATAAACTCAAACCCAGGTAAACATTGTATGAATTGTGACTCTTGCGTGTCTATCATGCATTATAAATATAATAAAATTTTTGGCAAAATACAAATTGCTTTACAAAAAGCTTTTTTCTGTGATTATGTTTGACTCAGACATTTTTAGTAGGACAGCTTGCATGATAGTGATTTAATTAAAAAATGTATCAGTCTTTTTAAGAATCTGCGGTGAGATCCTGCGATGACTTTATAATAACAATATTCTATTTACAACAAAATACAATTTAAATTTTCAGAAAAATAATTTCGTACATTCCAAAGCAATTTTAGATGACACTTTACTTCGGATAACCCCATAAGTTGTTAACATTAGTATTTTTGAACCGGTTAATATTCGCATTCGATTTGTATTACTATTTACACCTCAGGATTGAGCAAAAAAAAAATGAACGCATGGAAAAACAAACTTTAACTCTACGAAGCATATAAAAATCATTTGACAGCATATAATTGATAAAAAATGTCACGTCTGAGGTGAACGATAGTAACAAAATTCTGATTATAAAATTTGAACTACGAACTCTCTCCTATATTTACAAGTCAAATCAACATACTGCGAAACAAACTATAAATCATAGCAAAAAACGGCCAGTGGCAGTAAATAGATTTTGTATCCTCACTATATATGTTATTTTTAAAATCACCAATCTTAATAAGTATGGCCTAGTATATAGCGATTAAACACTTTTATTGGTTATTTGCACTTTTTGGTCCAACCATTACCTCGTCATATGAATTTTAATTCTGGTCGTATCAGTCTATTTTTTATTAATTTGAAAATCGTGATATTTGCAAATATTTACGCATTAAAACAACGTGAATTACTTTTTTTCGCGCTGTAGACATGTATGTAAGGCAAATAAAATCAGAACATCAATAACTTCCCAGTGCTTTGGAATACAGAATCAGTACTATTTCGTTTGCAATACGTTGCAGAGCACATGATAGACATGGAAAATAATGCCATTGGTCAGCTGTACCTGTGGTGCTTGATTGCATCGATAATACAATACACAACACGCTCTGCATGTTATCTAGTCCAAACGTCATCGAGACAATCATTGCCCAACTCCTCTATGGGAAAAACTTTGAGGTTTCTTAATGTCTCCAGGTAGAATGTGAGCTCGGAAGTAACGACGCCATGTTGGGGACCACCGTTGTTGACAATGTTCATTTTTACCAGCTGTTCCTTAAGCTTTTCTTTGAAAGACGTGTTCACCGTTCTATAGAGCGCTTGGACCTCGTCGTTCGGCAGAATGCCAGATACCGCTTCGTGTAGTTTAACCAAGTGCCTGTCAATGGATTGATGCATAATTAGCTCTTGCTGATAAGTAATGTTGATATTACTGCAATAATGATGAGTTCTGGCGACTCAAGCATTGCAATTTTAATATCATGAGTAGTAATTTGTGTGTGTGTGTATGTGTGTTCGTGATGAAGGAAAAAAATTAACACAAACCTTGAAATATTTCTAAACGATTGGGATGGCACAGGTGGCTTGGCAGCCCAACTAGAAATTTGACCTCCCAAAAGATTATCAACAATAGTTAATATCTTTCCATCTATCTCGAGAATGTGAGATCGAATATCACGCTCTACAGTATCGAGTAATGCAACTCCTCCGCTCGTGGCTGGCATGCCTGCGACGCTGTGATAACAGCTCTGTTCTGCTAAAGCTTGATGTGAAATTGTATTTTTACTTGAGCAATTCTCACTTTTATATTGTTATTGCTAGTACTTTAATAACTTGAGCATTGCAAGCATACCTTGAAAATGAGCTTTAACAAAAGGCATTAGCCATAGTACTAGTTTTAAGCTTCGTGCAGCCAAGACAAGTATTGTACTGGTGATAGTTTTGAGTCCGGCAACCTGCATAGCGCCAGCACCTAATACGAGTTGACAGCAACGAGAATTGTAATGACGCAGCAATTCGGCAAGTTGACGACCAATCATTCCAGACAAGGCTGACAGTTCACTACCAGTTCTGCAATTGCACAATCATGCTGATATATGTATACACACACGCGTCTATTCAAATCGTATTATCGTAATGGAATGTATCGCTCACCTGCAGTACTCGTGGATGATTTGAATTAATATTAAAACAGCCCAAACGATGGCATATTTTTCATCCCCTATACTTATTACATTGGCAATTTTATCACTGTTGATAATATCTTCTTTACCCAGTTCGTATGGAAAACTTTCATTTTTATGAACGTAAGTCACCAGTGCCTGATACTTGGGAGGAACATCGGCTTGTTTCCACCGTTCCGAGTCAAGTACGTGACTCAATGTTATTTTTCGTTCCGTATGGAATTTTTGTACAAATTTACTCGCTTGTGCCTGTAAAAATAACAATATCGATCATGAAATTGATTATTGATGTAAAATGTTGAAAAAAAAAAAAAATTTGTTTATTGAACCTTGAAAGCGGAACGAAGGGCTATGCACTGTTTTCCACACAATTTTTCACATGTGTCCGTAAAGTTGTCGACAATATTCGCCAATTTGCAAACTTGCGAGGTAGATGCTGTTTCACTTAACCAAGACTTATCGTTCCAGCTCAACGAATCTTTATCAAATTTACTGAAAGATCCATCGATGGAACCCTTATCTTTATCACTGTCAGAGGGACTTGCAGAAACAAGATTTCCCAATCTTTCATGGCAGTAATCGCATATGGAAATCAACGAATCTGATAATTTTGTTGTCACGCGCGTATGATCTACATCCGATAACAGCTGATCTATCAATGACTCATTGGATCTTTCTGACGACGATTTCCCTGCTGCCAAATCTGCCGTATCTTTTATGACGTTATGTACCGTCTGTGAATAAAAAAAAAATTTTTTTAAAGTTGCTGTAACCAAAGAACAATATTGAAATTCGTAATGGTGCTTGAAACGTTTGGCCACCTTAATTCGATGCAAAAGCGATGTCAAAGAATGTATCGTATTGTCTAATAGTTTTAATCGCTCGTTGAGAGGGAGACCGCCAACTTCTAAAGCTGCCGCTTGTTGATCGCTACAACAGTCGCTATCAGCTAAAGACTCGATGACACGTTGTTTTGTTATTGCTCTAACAGTTGTCATTGCCTCCTCTTTATAAATATCTATAAACTGAAAGTGTTTTTGGCGCAAAAGTCCTGATATGATGGATACCAGTTTATCCTGTAAACAAATGTAGAATGGAATTTTCAATAATTTGAAAAGAGATTTTTTTTTTTTTAATTATAAACTCACTCCATCCAGCACAGTATTATCACTTGACAAAGGTCGATTTAAATCTGCCGTCGCATACCTCTCGAACTCGGTATATAACATCTTATTTATGAGTTTCTCCATTTCTGACAATTGTGACCCCAAGTGCCTAAAAAATGATTTACAATTATATATTTAAATCGGATTAGTTTTTCAAAAACATAAATAATGTAGCACTACCGAAAACTGTGAATTCCATTCAACTCTTGCAACGATATTTCTTGAGTCGTAGAAATAACATCCAATGCGGCGACGTAATCTGGCGTTGACAGCAATGACTGAATCATTGGTTGACTTTGATGAACTGTTGCTATGAGTTTTAATTTTTCTTGCACTAATAAATGATTACACCTCAAGCGCTCCAATCTGAGCAAAAAAACATAGCATTTAAGTATATTATTGGGGGCAGGACATTTTATTAAAAACACCCATTGAAACTTACCTCAAAACTTGAAATGAATTTTTGACAAGCTTATTATCAATTTCATTAATGTTTTTTCGCAGAGCTTTCAAGATTGTAATAGTTTGTGTCAATTGCTCCATCAATACATCATGCGAAGTCATAGCATGAAAAAAAGCTTGAGATTTAGATGCTACTTGTTCCGCAATTCTAACTTCGACAATGTCCAAATAATGGGTCAGCTGAGAAAAAAAAATCATGTTATTTGGCCACAATCAAAATTAATATGAATAATTGAATTGTTTACTTTTTCTTGCATTTGCTTAACATTTGACACGATATTTCTTCCCTCGCCAAGTAGGCCTTCTTTTGAAAAAGCAAAAACTTGATCAAAGTTTTCCTTTTTGGAAAGTTCCAAATTAGGATTAAGAAATATTTTTGGTATATTACTCAAGTCAAATTGCGAATGTTCTGTAACAAATACGAATATTTTAAATCATTAATTAATTTGGATCTCGATTGGTAAATTATAAAAGTTGAAAATATAATTGTAAAAAGTGTTTAAGTACCAATGGGACCATTACTACTGCTGATAGCTCTGACTTTCCTGAGATTTGGAAAGTTTTGTAGTAACTTGTAGGATGAAGTGGAAGGAAGATTTGAGATGGAATTGAGACGCGTGTGCTTTCTATATCTCTGAAAAAAAACGATGTTTGTCATGTGTTAAGTGGAGATTAGAAGAAAAAAATGGTAAAAAAAAAAAAAAAAAAAAAAGTTGAGTTGAAAGTGGTATGGTTTGCTAACTTTGGCAATCCTTTTTAAATAGGATTCTAGATGCTGCACTGTTATTTCAGGCAGGTAAGGGCACTTAGGGATGTCGGCTTTCTCGACAAAGGAGTCGCCCCAGGTCTTGGTGAGGAAATTGCTTTGTTTGCCTCGATTAGGATCGTTGAGCACAGCAGGTAGATTTTGGGCAGCCGAGTATACCGTCCAAGAAACAGGGATGCCCGATACCGCCGAACTGACACCGCTGGCCAGCAATAACTGACCATTGCTTTTTTTTTGCTGCTGCTGCATCGTCGCCGCGTGCTTCACGGCATGGGCTACGTAATCCTTGTCGGAAACACCTTCAACTGGAAGACTCGAGCACACGCCGTTGTAACCATACCGGCAGACGAAGGAGCCTCCCTCCTGACTGCAGTGTTGCACGCGCAGGTGTCTACAAGCATCATTAATACATATATATGTATTGAAGTGCAAAAGACAAAGTATTTTTTACGTTTTTCACATGTTTGTATACTATGAGAGTGTGCCTGTTGCTGTCTGTTTACATCATTTTTTATAGATAGGTCTGTCCATGCTTACAACCTATGTTTAGCAGTAACATGACATTCGAGTTTATATACTTTTAAGAGCTTCTATAATTATATTATGTAGCTAGTAATGTGATTGATGAAATCAATAAATATAATAAAATTTTTGGCAAAATACAAATTGCTTTACAAAAAGCTTTTTTCTGTGATTATGTTTGACTCAGACATTTTTAGTAGGACAGCTTGCATGATAGTGATTTAATTAAAAAATGTATCAGTCTTTTTAAGAATCTGCGGTGAGATCCTGCNTAACATGACATTCGAGTTTATATACTTTTAAGAGCTTCTATAATTATATTATGTAGCTAGTAATGTGATTGATGAAATCAATAAATATAATAAAAATAACGTATGGGCCGTGTAAGTAATATGCACTGTATGGAATGTCTGTATACCTATACTGGAGAGCCACATGGTGGCTCTATCGGTAGCGTGTCTGCCAACAGATCTTGATGGCCGGGGTTCAAATCCCACTCTGGACAAAAATTTAATCAATGAATGAGGTTTTTTCTGGATGGGATTTGTACTTCAATAAACCTACCGATCTATCTACCGTTTCCCCCTACTGTTATTAAACCCAACGTATGGCTAAATACACTTTATAGCGTCAAAATAGCCATGTCTGAGCCCTAAAAAACCTATAGTGGAGCAGCAGACAGACAATTAAATTGAAGCTTATAAGTATCAAATTCCGAATCTAAAATTGTCGTGATGCCAAGTATATGCATATATAAGCCTATGTTGGTAAAGTATACATACAGAGGAGACGATGGTAGATGAGGTTGCAGAAGATAATTTTGAAAATTGAGTAGGCACCTACCTATTTTATATATGAGAAAAGGAAAAGAGTGGCGTGGTTCCTCGTCGACGTAAGCATCAGCAACAGCAACAATAACAGCAGCAAGCATACCGCTCACCAATAATTCAATGAACTGGATGAAATCAACCATGTAATTAGGTACTCCAATATTGAGAGCAAGAAGTGAGTAAAGTGAAATGAAATAGAATAAAGTGCAGGCTTGACCGAATGTTTCAGTAATGATATACAGCTAATAAATTAAATATGCTACTTGGTGCAGGTGTGTGTACTTATGTGTAGGTAGGAGTGTTACTTGCGTGTTGGCAGTATAAGCTAAGTATATGTTTACTTATTTATAAACTCACCTGATGAAATCATTGATGTGTTTGAAGGTGAGGTTATCGCAGTGCTCGCAGGTTACCTGCTGCAGGCCAGTCGCAGGTGCAGGTAATTCTGTAGCGGATGTCAACGCAAACACCCTGCTGGCCTGCATGTTTTTAGCCCATATACAATATGTATATTTTTAATGCTACTTGGGCTGTCGTAATATTGTGCACTGCTGCAGGCATGCAGCACAAATTGTGGGGAGACACCACACACCCCAGCTGTTGAAGAGTTTAACACTGTTCACTACTTGCTTAACTGAAGTTAATACATAACTAAACAATGTCTGATTGTCTGAATCATGGCTATAGAGATTTAACTATTTGATTACATATACCTTAAATATATTACTGTATACCCATGTAAGTGTATATGTTACACTTGATAATGAGTGTCTTTCGATCACGCTGCGTTCCGCGATGCACCATTGCATGGGTCGTCGTCTGCTCGCTTGCTCGCTTCGAGCTATATACATGACTAAATCCATAAAAACATCCCGTTTTCGTTCCCCATTTTAATAAAAAAAACCCTTGAAACTGGGCTCATTTTACTCATAATAATGTCGTGTTCTATGAGAAAAAAAATTTTGAACACGGGTTTTAGTGAGGGTGACACGTTTTTTCTGACATTTACGTGCAAACTGCTACGTGAAACCCGTGTTGAAAAAATTTTTTTTCTCACAGTACATGGCACTACGAGTAAAATGAGCTCTGTTTCAAGGGTTTTTTTTTTTTTTTTTTTTTGTTTTTTTTTTTTTTTTTTTTTCATTACAGCGGGGAACAAAAACAGGATGTTTTTGTGGATTTTCCCTATACATGCATATGCAAGTCATAATACGTTCTATATGCAAGAAGTTCCGCGCGATAACCAGCCAATAGCGGCAGTACTCTGCACTTAATTCACTCTGTTTAAAAATTACCAACATCAATGAATCACGTAGAATTTTTGAAACAAGAGTTACGTTACTACTTTCCCTACTGGTGGAGTTGTAACATACTATCGGACAGAAAATCTTGGATACTAAAAAGTTCAACTTGTTTCGATCAATTGTTTTTTGTTTTGTTTATATTGTTGATGCTTTTTTTTGTAAACAAGCAATTGTTTGATCATTATTAAAAGTATTGTTTTTCTTCGAAATGAGACATGTAGGTGCATGTATACCTAATTACCTGCATTTAGAATGAAATAATAGAATTATAATTGAAAACACATGGGTTATTGGTACAAGTAATTTTATGAATGAGCAAAAATTTCCAAGGATATGCGTAAAATTTGGACACGATAGCGTGTTGGCCTTGATAATGTCAAGTAACCCGCGAGTGTGATGGGTGTTGAAGCCGAAGGGACGCAATATGAGGGGTAAGAGGACGCGTGAAGTCTCATCTCTGCTGATGCTGTCGCTGCTGGTTGATGAGGGCGAGCTGGTAAGCGTTACGGCTGGCCAGCTGTTGCTGCTGGTGCTGGGCGCGCTGGTTCTCGAAAGCCAGGAGCTTCTGGCGCTTTTCCTCCATCAGCCGCTCCCGGTGCTTGTGGATGTAGTCGTAGGCGTTCGGCAGTACGGCTATCACGCAAGCCGAGACCCCCGAGCGGTACATGTTCATGTCCGTGGCCTCGTACCTGAGGGATGCCCGATCGAGATCATTATTTACTTACCACCAGTTGTGTACCACGTGGACTTTACGCATACGTCAGGAGGATTTTTTTTTTTTTTTTTTTTCCCCACCCTTGCGAGTCATCGATTTCAATGAAACTCTTTGAACCAAACTTGGGCTACACGGTACACATCTGTTGCGATTAATCATTTCCAGCTATCGTCAACTCGACTTCTCATCATGACTTTTTATGGTTATATACATATATGCATCCCCAAGTTTCATTGATATCCTCAACCCACTTTACGCGCAAGTGATGATGATACCATTCGTTGGTCTTTTCGTCGTAGCACTCGACGTGAAAGGTGGTGTGGACGCCGTTGAAGCCACCGATGGCAAATATCATGTCGTCTATGATTTCTATGGCAAAGTTACTTCTTGGGCTGTACATGTCGGGTATGCGGGCCCACGTGTTGGTCGCAGGGTTGTACTTTTCGCTGCTGCACATTCTCGAGGTGCCGTTGAAGCCACCTTGTTTTTTTTTTTTTTTTTTTTTTCATTTTTTCATTTTTACAGGAAAGTCAAATAAAATTGGCAAGAAATGCACATTCGTGTGTATAAGGTATAACAAAGTGAAAAAAAAAAAAAAAAAAAAAAAAAATCAATGAGCAAAATATTTGCAAAATGGTAAGTGTGTATAAATAAGAAAGATGGTGTACCGACGACGTAGACTCGGCCGTGGTAGGCGATGCAAGAGACGCCGCTCCGTCGCGACCTCATCGGTGCCACCATCGTCCACTGGTTCGTCTGGGGGTCGTAGTACTCGACCGTGTTCAGGCACTCCCTTCCGTTGAAACCCCCGGTTATGTAAATCTTGCCTGCAACCCATGATTCATCCCTTGGACTTGTTTGCATTTGTTTTGTCACTATTGCCCAAGAAGGAGAGCATATATATATATATAATTTTACGAACCGTCCAAGGTGGTTGCACTGGCGTCCGAGCGCTGGGCGTTCATAGGGGCGATGAGGGACCACTGGTTGCGCCGGTAATCGTAGCGCTCGGCGCTGTTCTGCCGATGGTAGCCGTCGAACCCACCCATCGCGTACACGTAGTCGTTGTGCACGGCCACGCTCACGTACGATCTGCGCGCACGTATGATCGTTGTGCGTCAATCACTCCACGTAGTAATTGTTGTATGTATTTTTTTTGGTGGGGAAAAAAAAAAATATAAATAATGAAAGACCTCCTAAAGTTCATGGGGGCGACCTCGAGCCATTTTTTGGTGACCGCGTTGAAGCACCGGCAGCTGTTGAAGTAATCGACTCCGTCGAAGCCACCGATCACGTATATGTTGAACCCGACGACGGCCGTGCCGTGATAGGCCCTCGGCCCGCTAGGATCGCCCTCTTCCACCTGCCAAGCCCCGATAATTCACTAACTTGTCGGTTATTCGTAAAATGTAGAAAGGTATGAGTGACCGGACCTTGACCCAACGATCGGCCCTCGTGTCGTAGGTCTCGATGAGGTTGGTCGCCGAGTTGCCGCACCAGCCCCCGATGGCGAACAATATCTCGTGGGGCACCCTCGGCCGGGCGATCTCGGGAGTCGGGAGTTCCCCGTCCTTGAGGGTTATCATCTCGAGGTCGTAGAGAAACTTGAGGGTCTCGATGATGATGGGCCGACAGGCCTCGTTGCCCGCCACGTACGGGTGCTCCTTGACGTTTTCGAGGAAGAATTGGGTGTCGAGGAGCCCCAGCCTCATGTTGCGCATGAACTCGACGATGTGGTGCTTGCGCCCCTCCGGCTCGTGATTGATCCACCTGAGCACCAACTCCCACGCCGTCTCCTCGTTCTTCACGTTGAGCTCGTCCTCCCCTATCAACGCCGTCACTTCGTTTATCGGCAGCAACAATATTTCCTTGCTCTTCTCCGCCACCTGAGCATACAATCATCAGTTGTTGTGGGCATTGGGCACGAAGCACAATTAACACGAACCTTGACAAAGTTCCGCATGATGTAGAGGCGCGCGTTTTTCTCGAGGCCCCTGCAAAAGTGCTCCTTCGCGAAGCTCATGATCCCGATGCAGTTCTCCGGGGTCAGGTTGGCCCGGAGATACTCGCAACAGAGCTCGACGACCCCGAGAAAGCTCAGGTAGTCGGCGCTGCTCAATAACTGGCAGACGTTGTCCCGTTTGACGTCGAGGGTGCGCAGGTACGCGTACTCCAGCAGCTGGTTCATGATCTTGCTGCTGACGTTGGGCAGCAAAAAGTCCGTCTTCTCCTTGGGATGCAGAGACGTGGTGAACAGGGTCCTGAAAACCATCAAAAATTGGCTCGCTTGATCGACCCCCATGAAGTCGTGTCCCACCCTCCCCACCTAAAGTACGAGCTGCAAGCCGAGAGGATGACCCGGTGGATCGGGAAGACGCCACCGTCCTCGAGTCTGAGGACCGCGTCGCAGAGCAAGTTGTTTTGCCTCAGGTCGTAGAGGGACTGCATCGCCTGGGTGCTCATGCACCGGCCGCTCGTCTTGTCGGCCAACAGGCACTTGCCACTGGCGCAGCATCCCTTGCTCGCCTCGCCCCCACTCGCGTCCATCATCATCGGCAGGTTGTGGTTGCCATTGTTTATACTATTGTTGTTCTCATCCACGTCCATGGCAATCGAGTTCTGTTGCATGTTCACTTGACAATTTACCCTACAAAGGACCCCACGGCCAGCATATTACATATATACATGCACGGGTTGAGAGGTAACCTTGGCTGCTTTGGGGACGGGCCGGTGGTTAGGTTGGATCGGTTTGGGGACGGTGATGGGTGAGTTAATGTACGATGTGTCAAGTGAGACGCCTCATGCAGGCTCCGCACCGGACGATAATAATTTTGACTGCAGCCTGCCGACAAGGGGCTCTCATATCACCGGGTGGAACAGCCTTGCTCCCGCCAGTCGCAGCATGGGTAGGTCGATAAGATATGATGTATTACTTGATCGCGCTTCAATCAATCAAATTCAAAAACTCCGGCCATTGAACTTTCCGGGCCCATTTACGCTAATCGATATTCGGAATTTATTTTTACGTTGACTTTAACGCGGAATTTTTTTTTCGCCGAGACCTGTTGAACGAACCGAGAATTATTATCACAAGCAGCATGACGGCCGTCGGCGGGGCGACATCGGCACGTCAACAACAACGTCAACGCGCAATCGGCCACTCACTTCACCCTCCTGTAAACACTTACCGCCACCTATACATGGGAAAATCAGTATAACGTAATTAAACATACATCTATTTTTTTTTTTTTTACATTCAAGTATATTCAACCACGTTGGAGGTACTTATTTACACTAACTTTATTCATTCGAGTTCTTTACATCAACATTTCAACAATATTTACAGGATAGCTTTATTACAGTCGAAGTAGGTTTACACAATTTGTGCACAGAAACGATTACGAAAGCGAAAAAAAATTTCAAATAATAAAAAAAATTTTTTTTAACGAATAAAAATAATAAAATACTAAAAAAAATTTTTTTTTAATATAAATTTAAATATTAATTATAGGTACATGTTAATAATATGTTATTACTATTACTGTCCTACATCGTGTATGATTATTTATACCATTGACATAATATGTAGAAATAAATAAACAATTAACAAGCTATGACAATTGGTCGATATAATTGTATTTTTTCTTAATCTATACAACAATATCTCAACTACAGTTAAAACAACAACAACAATTATCATTAATAATGTAGCAGGTACTTATATCTACGAAAAAAAAGCGAGTCACAACAAAGTAATTATAGGAGTTGGATAAAAATGTTGACCATGTCCAACGTTATACCTACACTACCCGTCTATCTACATTACCACTAACGATAAATTGTACTACTTATTGCTCTGCAATACACATACTTAATGTTTGTTCATATATTATATACACTGTATCACACACAATACAACGAGGATGGCCGTTCAGTTTTATAAACGTATAATTTCTGCCACCACTGGAAAAAACTGGGCAAAGATTTTATGGGAACTCTGTTTCTTCGAGCGATAGCCTCGCGAGTAAAAATTTTGTTCGCGCAAAATTTCTCACAACGTTCAAGCAGACTTGTTTCTGCGCCAACGTACCTACATGTTTTTCTTCCAATAATTCTATTGATCTCTGAAATTGTGCTTGCGAATGCATCATATCGCCTCGAGAAAATGCTAAATAAATAAACGAAAAAAAAAAAAAAAAAAAAACTGCACTTAATTAAAATTAAAATGAAGTAATGAACTATGTGTACATCGTCAAAGAAACTAGGTGTATATTATAGCTCACAGTTATAATCATCGCTCAACCGTATGGCGTTTAAATTGCAAGTATAAAAAATAAAATAAGATTAACTTTGAAGTGGCGGCAGTGAGAGGTTACGCGAACAAGATGATGCGTTATAATATACGTTTGCCTGCAGGGACAAATAAAACAATGTAAGTAAAACGTGCAGCAAATAATAATAATAATAATAATAATAATGATGATGGCAATATATGTATATAATGTTGATATTGGTAAAGAACAATGGAAAAAAAAGTAGGTTGTGGGGATCAGGGCGTGGTAGTAGTGGGCCATCGGGTACAAATCCACGTGACGACGGCAAAGGTGGCGGCGTTGGTGGGAAAGGCCCTTAAGATGGTGGAGCTGAGGCCCCGGAAGAGGCAGCCGTAGCCCTCGGAAGTGACCGACTTTCGGAAGCAGTCGATGGCTCCGTTGTACTTGGCCGAGGTGTCGGCCTGCAGCCTCGACTTGACCACGTCCACCGGATACGAGACGATCCAGGAGGCGCTCCCGGCCAACCCGCCCGCGAGGAGCACCCGCCACGTCGAGGTGGCCCGTTGGGGCTCGTTGGGCGAGCGCACGAGGAGCTCGTACGAGGCGAAGTACACCCCGAAACTCGGGGCCTCCCGAAGCACCGTGACCCCGAGGCCGCTGAATACACCCCGTAACCCTTTTGCCCGGTGAATCGCTAGCAAACACTGGACCGGACCGTGGGCCACTGCTCTCGTCGTCCCTCCTATGTCCCGCTTCTGTAGCTGCAACCGCGTCTTGGCGAGCTCCATGGGGCTGGCCACGGGCGACTGGGCCACGCCCGCCATCACCCCGGCGACAAAGTGACCGCTCAGCTCGAGCTCGGCCGCCGATGAGCCCTCGTTCTGCCGCTGCTGCTGCTCGAGGTACTTTCGGCTCTGACCGTATATACCAAAGACAACGGCGTTTATAAAGGCGACGCCGGCCATCGGCGACGACATGCCCCTGTACAGTCCGGCTACCTGTTGGAGTTACAATTTTTTTTTTTTTTTTTTTTTCTTCACGACCACCCACACATATTATATATGCGTACAATAATTATTATAGGTACATGTGTTTACCGAGTGTTGGGCAAGCAGCGTCCGGAAGCAGTGCCATGTTCCCCTGTACTTGGGATTCCGATGGTCTTGCGTCTGAATGTGAACCTTGACGGTATCAAGAGGATATCCAACCACAATACCTGCACAGCCTGTCACAACCCACGGGATCATTACACGTATATGCATCACCTACGGCTCATTACTCGAGGGGCAAACGAATAATACAATGGGGGCTCGGTTATAGCCCTGGTTATGGGTATACGTGTGTGTGTGGACGTGCCATATGTAAAAAAAAAAAAAAAAAAAAAAAGTCCGTCACAAGTGCGGAGGTCACTGCTGCTACTGTTATATTATGTTGTACGCAAGTGTACCTACTTTTGCTTGATGTATGTGTTAGGCAGTGTTGTTTAGAAAAACATTGAAGGGGCGATAACGCGGGCGGAAACTAAACCGATATGGTTTATTATTGACCGTCGGTGCTCACATGCGCAGGGTTACCGCATTGTTGTTGTTTGTTTGCTCGAAAGGGGAGAAAAAAAAAAAAAAAAAAAAAAAAAAGGTGACGATGATGATTCCTCACCTCCGAGGCAGCCAGCGAAGAAGTCGAGAGCCATGGCCTGCAGCCGTCAGGGCCCAAGCGGCTTCCCCGTGGGAACCGAGCGCCGACGGGTTTCCTCGATCGTCGACTACTCCGATATAATCGTCGTCGCCGATCGCCAACTCGGGATCCATGTAAACTCCGAGCCACTGCACCACAAAGTTTCGCAACTCCTCTCTTCTGCGGCACCCCGTAGCCCCGTCCGACGATCCAGCTTTCCGGCTGCAAGTGCACCTGCAGCGGGATTCTCTCTTTTCTTTTTTTCTTTTTTCTTTTTTTTTTTTCTTCCTCTTTCCGTAGAAAAGGTGCTTTGAAAAGAAATTACATCGAGCGCACCCAAATCATTTCTAACCGCCCCCGCCTAACGGCACCACCAACAGACAATTTTCGCCGATGTAGACCAACGATCCCCCGATCACCACTGGCACTTGCGTAAATAGTTGATCAACGTTGGAAGCACACGGAACTCGTGAAACGATTTCGAACGTCCGGCACGGAGTGACTGAAAGGCTAAAGTCTCGATCCTCGATCTCGAGACGAATCGCCGAACCGACGAGGGCTGGGGCAATGATAAATCGCGCGCGCTATCTGCGGCGAGTCAGTGGCTGCGGAGAAGATACACGAATGCCAGCTCTTGCGTGCGGACGGTAAAAACACAAAATCTCCTCTTCCGACGCAGCTAAGGAGCTCGACAAAGAGAGGGGCGCAACACGTACGTTTTCAGTGACCAAGAAAAAAAAATACAGATACGTGATTGTGTATGTATACCATACATCGCGTATGGGGCATGATTGCGTGGCAGAGATACACGCCGTATCATTTTATTGATGTATGTGCATGATTTTGGGAAACGAGCGAGTGGCCGATGCTTCGGGTCGACTTGTATACGTACTTCGTTCGTATGAATTGAGAACGACACATCTCACAAGACTAATATTGAGACTTTGTTCGATGCAGAAAAAAAACTTCTTTTTTTTTTTTTTTTTTTCATCAAGCACGCTGCTATCGAGCTCGTTTTCGTAACCCTGATAAGCAATCGGGGGAAAATCACCTTGTGCTTTCATAACTATAATATTATTGAAGTTATATTTCCTGATAAATTTTACGCTTGTGCGTTTGAGGTGCCGTCCGCACTTTATCCTCTTTTTTTTTTTTTTTTTTTTTCTACGATAAAAACATTACTGAAACATTTTATCAGTGACCATCTATTTTCGTTAATGTAAGAACTTTTGTCTTAGAAATTCAACGAGGCTATACTTAGATATTAAATACAATTCATCAAGCATAGGATTCTGTTACTTGAAAGGATTAAAAAGTTACAATTCAACACAATTTTTACCGTTGTACGCAATGGTCACAAAGTACTACTAATTGAGGTGGATAATTTTTTTTTTTTTTTTTTCAATTTTATAACTTTTGGACGGTTCAAAATTTTTTTTTTTTTGGAATTTCTACTGTTTTTCTGATAATTATCGCCTTGCAGTTTAAAAAGTGTCAATTACAACTAATAACTAATCTTATGAAAATTGATTTCTCGATGCGATCATCTTGTTTTGATTATGTCAGATACTTACCAGTTAGACCTTGTCATTGTTTTCAAGATAAAACGTGACGTTACTAATATTTGTCTCTTGAATCTTGCAAATGGCCTAGTTGATACCGGATGTTGGAAGCAAACAATAAACTTGTGAGGAAAAAAAGTTTAAAAATCATTTTACTCATGAAAGATAAACTTCCGAGATGACCCGTATTCATGCATTTGGAGAAAAAAAATTGTACATTATGAAATGAAATGAAAAAAAAATTTCAATCTCTGCTTATCACCAGCTGCATGATTTAATCATAATATTGTACCTTAACCTATTGCCAATAACTTATCTTGATGGCAATTTTGATTTGTCATTATTTTGGGCTTCCGAGAGTTATAAAATTTAGGGAATAATCAGTGACACAACTTTCATCCATCGTATCACAGAGAGAAAAAAAGTGAATGAGTTTTGAGATACTTGGTGCATTCAAATGCTCAATGAGTATCGGCACTGATGGGCAGAGAGTGTGTGCACACAGTTTAGCCGTCCGACGAGTAGATGGAAGCATCGGTACAACGATGAAAGCCCCTGAAATGAGGCGTCGGTCAAGTCGAGCGCTGCCACGTTTGTCGGGGAGCTTCCTCTCTCTACCCTGACGATAAATCACGAGCGTTTCATTGATTTTCTCCCCGGCGCAGGCCTCGCTCGCGCAAGTGGGCACAAGAGCTTTCGGCGCAGCTTACTTTTAACTTGCCCCACGCGCCAGCGCCTGTTATTCCGCAGTCCACCAGGAAATTTACCCAAACTTTGTAAAACCGTGGCGAATTTCGTTATGGAAAAAACGACCGATAATATTGAGAAGAAAAAAAAAATCGTATAAAATGATGAGCAAAAGCAGGATACCATCATCCAATGCTGTGCTCCACAGCTCATGCAATACATGCGGAGAAAAACACGCGCAGACTCAGCTGCGGATGTGTTGCTAATTATACACCCTGTGCTACGTGTGTGTGCTGTGTGGAAGAACCTCGCACACACTATGGTAAACGGTGACCCGCCGCTCGGCACCCCGAGCTTGCAAGCTGCTCGGCCGTGCAGTTGGGACTCGCCACTTTGACGGATGTGAACCTTTCACGTTCTGGTTTTTCCTCAGCTCCACGCCTATACAGCCGTGTTTACAGGTGAGTACCTGATATTATCTCCTTGCATCGTGCACACACAATATTACAGAGCAAATGCAAAAAAGCTCTGCTGCTTTACTTACTTAGTAGGTACACATCCGATAGATGGCAAATCGTAGACTATAGGTTCGAATCCACCATCCAATCGGAAGCTTTCCCTTGTGGAATACACCCACTTGAATAACTACCTTCCAAAAGTGTATACACGAATCCACATCCGTTGGACATGCATATAATATGCATAACACATCACCTTTTTTTTTATAGAATTTTTTTTATAGTAGGTATAGGTAATGTGCGTGTATGCGCTTATATATATATATCCATCAGACCCTCTTTCTCTCTCTCACGTGCATGTCCACTCGGAGTCACGTGGGCTCGCGAGCGCGTTTGCTTCTTATAATAGTGGACGCAACCCGCATCTGTATAGTTTTTTTTTACGACGACGCACACCCAGTGTATACAACTCTTGCTATTATGACTGTCCTGTGCCGACAGTCTTGTTCTACTGGCTGTGGTACAAAGAACGGCGCGTTAAGTGTTTATACAACTTTGAACATTTTTTTAACTATATAATACAATTTTTCAGTGCACGACAAATTATCATTATTATTTAGCTGAAAGAGGTATCTTAAAGCCATGTCCCATGGTATTGGATGATTTTCTCTCAAATGTAGTTTAGTGTTATTTTATATCCGAGTATTGTCCAAGTAACGTAATGATACATTTATGCATGCTATACTTGAAATAGGTTGTACGTGGATAGACCGAGCGATCGGAGTGAATGATTTTTTTTAACATCTCATAAAATGAAAGTATTAAAATAAAAGCACCTTGCATGCACTTTTAAAAACGCATCTATTCATTGGAAAAAAAAAAATAACCACCAACGTCCGCGAGCGCTATCGATTAAGTATTTTGATGTCATGAAAGGAAACCGATTGCATCACTTGCGCGTCTGGTAGAGTTAAGCTCTTTCGTGCGGTATATTGTGCTCTAACAACGTATATCTTCCTCGATGTATGTATTACCTGCTTCAAAAAAATTACTCAACTATTGTGTCCAATACAGCACGGAGGGAGTCTTTCTTAAAATCACTTGACAATGCACTCTTGAAGTTTCATCATGTGTACGAGCATCAAATACAAAATAGATTTGTTGAAAAAACAAAAAATAAATAAACGAGCGAATGCGAGTATCGAAAAATTCAAAGCTGCGAGAAAAATGATGAATAATTTTATTCGCAGCGCGGTGTATAGGAGGTAACCGTAATCATCAGATCTGCGGACTATCCTGTGATAAAAGTGTGTTTGAAAACATACCAAGTATTGGACTGCAGTGCGTCCCGGTGACTTTGTAAAATGAGCGTTCCTAAGCCAGATGGGCGTTTGACGCTGCCAATTACGCGGGCCATCGATCAACAGGTCTGTCAGTTTTTTTTTTTTTTTTTTTTTTTCATACCCACGGAATGCCCATTTTTGGCAGCGACAGATTAATCGAGTAAAATTTTGTCGGAAGGACGAGGAAACCTCGGATTGTCCGCTCTTGACTCCGAGCCCGCCCGTGAAGCTCGTGCAAAGTACCCTGGACGACAGGAGCGCGTTCATGGCTCGCGCCGATACGCCCCTGGACGAGCCGCTGAACAACATCAACTCCGAAGACGGACTCGCCTTCCTCAACATCGTCAACAGCTCGTGCAAAGGAATGGACGACGGTGAGTTACGCGCGCACCCGCACTTGAAATCCGTGTCTTGAGATCCCCGCACAGGCAATTAATTTATTGTCGTTAAAAAATTCAATTATCATAACATTTTGTTCAACACTTTTTTCTTTCATTTCGTCCATCGCGCGATTACCTTTCTTGCGCCTATATGTAGATACTTATACTTACTAGAGCTTGTCATTTGAGAACGTAATGGGAGCTCGCTGAATTCCGTAACAAGTTTCATTTCATCACGCGGGTATACTCGTATACTGTATCGAATGTTGGTTGCGTGTATAGAGTTTCGTCTCTTTGTGCCTGTACCATTTTTTCTTGAACAAGAAGAAGAAAGAAAAAAAAAAATTAATCGGCTCTAACTTGGATGTAACATCATACAACGTGACTCTGTAATATTTGATATTATAATATACGCATGTGCTGAAACCGCTTGTTAAGGAGGCGATTTTTCCTCGTCTTTCGTTGGATCGTTAATTTTATGATATCGATGATTCGCTCAAATGATTTGTCGACGAGACTTGACACCAGTTTATTTCAAATTGATTGGTATGTACGTATAACATAATATATGTATACCGTTATACCTACCCAATTCAAATAATTGAAAACGCTTTAAAAATAAAGCCTTCAATTATTTCAAGTAATCAGCAAGTACAATAAAATGATGAAATACACGTGCAATATAATTATCGTTGCGTCAGCTTGACAACCGGCGAATGTAAAGAGATGAGCCCGGTGAGGATTTAATGAATTGAGTCAAGATGTATAGCTAGGTATGTATGTATATACCCATGTGACTTTCAGAACCAACTTCACGAGATCCGATGGTCGAAACGAGCAGCAACAGCGGCAGCAGTAGCGACACTAACGAGCCAGTTTGCACGCAATTACTTACTCAATTGAATACCGCGTACACCCATTTGGCTCCCGATGCACAAGCCCTGGTAAGATACACACACGCATATACATACTATTAATTTCTAGCCGCGAGTCAACCTCACCCTATGTACATACTTACATGCTCACCTTTTACGCGTATTTAATTACCTACGCCATGTTTACGAAACGTACCATATCAAACGATAGCATTTAGCTGATGAGGTATCTCTTTTGCGTTTTTTTGCTTCATCAATCCATTGAGTGTGAGTAATTATGTATAGGCAAGCGCGCGTATAAGCTTTAATTCAACGACGCTGCCAACTTGCCAACTCCCAGTACCGTTGGCATTTTTGTTGCGACCGTATTCGTAGGTATAGCCACTTACAAACATTATAATAATAAATATAGGTACAATCGATCGAGAGTAAATAGTAACAATGCTCTGTCGAGTCATTCACACTAGCTATATAATTTAATGATCGAGTCCAAAGTGCGCCGTATGCTAGTACATCTATATCTGATGGAGGTACTTACGTTCCGTGACTATAATATTAATTTAGACTGAAAATTATTAAGGTCACGTTATGTAGGTATATCTATATCGTACCAGCATATACCTACAATATGTCCAGATTTCTCATACATGCATCGTAAAAGCAATGATAATCGTGTTTAGTTTTACAACCAAGACAACAGCGGTAAGCCCCCGCTAACTGGGATACAGTTGGTTGTGCCAAAGTCCCCGGAGGATTACAGCTTCATGAAATGGAACTGGCCCGTTATCCGGAAAACGTGTTTTTGGACGTTCATGTCGGTTTTTGCCGGCTGCGTGGCCCTCGTCATTGGCGTGCTGTACACCATGCCCAAAAGGTAAAGTGAAATGGGAAAAATAAAATTGATCAGACCTTGTCATTGATGGCATCGTAATCGTTTGTCGTGCGTCGGACTAGATGCGACCCCAAGGTCGAATGGTGGCAAGGCAGTCTGTTTTACGAAATATTCCCCGCCTCCTTCCAAGACTCGGTGAAAAACGATGGGATCGGCGACCTTCGGGGCATAACGAATCGACTGGAGTACCTGGAAGGCCTCGGGGTCAAGGGGGTACGATTGAACTCGATATTTTTGTCGACAAAGTATCCCCAGCGTTACACCGAACTGGAGAGCCTGACGGAAATAGACCCGGCCCTCGGCACCCTCGACGACTTTTCCAAAATGGTATCTGCGATTCACCAGAGAAACATGGCCCTCGTGCTCGACCTGCCGCTCTACCCGTTCGTCGAGAACTTTGACGGAGCCACCGAGAACCGCAACCTCACCGACCGCCCCAACGAGCGAGAATCACCGGCCCTGCCCTTGCCGTCCTCCCGTAGCGAGGCCAAGCGCGCTCTTTTGGCCCCGGAAGTCCCGACGGAGACGTTTGGCCCTCACCCGCTCGACGACAACGTTGTCACGAGGGCCATTAGGTTCTGGCACGGCAGGAACGTCGATGGTTTTTACCTGAAGGGCCTCGAGCACTACACCTACGAGATAAATTTCGCCGCCGCCCTGAGACATTGGAAATCCATCGTGGGCCCGGATAAGATACTCGTGTGCAGCGAAAAGGCGCTGGCCACTGACTCGGAGCTCGCGAGAAGTGCCATTCTCAGCAGAGTTAGTCTGGTTGATGTTACGCTGGACGTCGTCAATGGGACGAAGAGTATCAAGGACCAGGTGATCAAGGTGCTGAAGGGACCGCTCTTCCAAAAAGCCAATTACCCGTGGGTCCACTGGTCCACCGGTAGCATCGACACTTTCAGACTGGCCTCCAAATTGAAGGTCGCCAACGCCAGCGTTGCCATAGCCATGATGGGAATGATGCTGCCGGGCACGCCTAGTATTTTTTACGGGGACGAGGTGCGTCGACACTTTGGTGGAAACAAAAACACCCGCTACTAAACGTACAAGAGACGTGAAAATGAATTTTTTTTTTTTTTTTTTTTTTTTTTTCAGATCGGTATTTTAAGTTCGGCAAGTCATGGCCGGCGAGGTGGCGAGCCTCTGGGCCAACTGGTGCCCATGCGCTGNATCCGACAGATCCAGTTCCCGACGAAAACCGGTGAGGAATATTTCGTAGAGCCACCTGACACATCGGAAACGCGATTGAGATTTTTTTTTTTTTTTTTTTTTTTTTTTTCAGATCGGTATTTTAAGTTCGGCAAGTCATGGCCGGCGAGGTGGCGAGCCTCTGGGCCAACTGGTGCCCATGCGCTGGGACAATGTCAATGCCAACGATGAGGCATTCCTAGCGAGCACCACGACACCGTGGACGCTCAAGTCTACGAAGCCAGCTGTGACCAATTTAACCGGTCTCGTGTCGAAAATGTTGAGACTACGTGCGGAAGCTGTACCTATATACGTGAAAGCTGTGCTCAAAAATAACGAACCCGTGGCCAATTGCGATGTTCGGTAGGCCCAATCACTTACAAATTATCAGCTACGTGAAAATATTTTACATTGTTTTTGCTATTTAATTTTTTTTTTTTTTTTTTTTTTTTGGTGCAAAAAAAAAAAACAATTTATACAGGTACACTGCGGATGAGATGATTGTGATTGAACGGCGATACCCTCGAAGAAACACTTACGTGTTCGTGTCCAATCTTGGCCCTGTCAGTCGAACGAAGGATTTGTCGTCGCTCTACTACGGAGGCTACGTGGTCGTCGGACCCGAGCACAAGCTAAATCGCAACATTTACTTCAAGGAATTGACCATCCTGCCTGGCGAAGCTTTTGTCATCAAACTCGACAAATGAACTCTTTTTACCTTTTTTGGTTGCTCTCTCTTTTTTTTTTTTTTTTTTTTTTCCTCTTTTTTCGTGCAGTACGAAATCATCATTCATCTATCAAGTATTCAGAGATCCAATTTCTAAACTTTTCTTTATCAACACGTTCGAAAGTTCGAAAGTTGCGATGAATACCTATAAAGGTCGATGCGTCTTACGTATCTTTTTTTTTATTAAATTTTTAAACTCAACATCAATGTACGCATTTCGTCATGATGTGTTTACATGATTTTTTGAAATTTTAAATTCAGAATTCCAGTTTGTTTCGTGCGTGTGTAAATACTCTCATGTGTACATGAGCAGCATTAGATACTTACAACGAGTATTCTGAAAATTCCTAAAGCTATGAAATGGAAAATGATAGCGTACTTACTATTTTTTTTTTTTTTTTTTCAGATTTTTAAAACAATTGTTATTTTCAGATTACTTGAGTATTGAAGAATGTATATCTTAAACTAAAGTAATAAATGTGATACTTATTTTGCTGAAAGTAAAAAAAAAAGAAAAAAACAAAAACAAAACCGATACTCTTGATATGTTATTGTAACTATATAATCATTAATGACAATTTTTATAATTGCGAACGACTGAGGCAACCAAAGACTAATTACACATGTATTTTTTACTGCATTTTTTTTCCTAATCATACTTCAAAAAAATTAAAGTATCCATTTATTATGACAAGCGAAACATGATATATTTCTCTACCTCACAATATTTTGTTAAAATCTTCTTTTATAATTATTCGTATGAATCTGAATGTACAAAAACATCATGTAAAATAATATTTTCTGTAATTACGCTCAACGTTTTGTTAGCTCGAGTGATATTATTTAGGTACCTATATTATTAAAAGAAACGAGAAGTATCTATTGATTAAAGTTACAAGCCGATTGTTGAGCAAACTCTCAAAATATCGACACTCCTTAATTTTGTGTCGCTTTTTTGATTTCTTTTATGTTGACAATTAAAAAATAAACTCGTGTCTCTTTAAATGTTTAGGTTTTTACATCTAGACAGCTATGTGTGATATGTGCCATCAGATTATGAGGCTACCTATTATTTTTAACAATATAATAATTTATGTGTAACGAAGTATTTAGGTACATGTGAGATATTCTTTTTAGAAAATTGCTTGACACCATAGGAATTGTTGATTTTTCAATAATTATGAACATAAACTTTATCATTGTTAAAGACGGATATTATTAAGTTTGATTGTTACTATTGAACGAAAAATTAATGATTTCTAAGAGAAAGTGATGAAATATTGAAATTTTGAAAAACAGTAGTATATCATTGTCTTTTGTGTAATACAGGTATATATTTTGCAACTTAACAACGAAATAAAATATATTTTAAAAAATAAATCTGTATCATTCGTGTAAGCGTATTTGAATCGTATTTATTTTTTTTTTTTTAAAGTAAATAAGACCTACTCGACCCCGTTTGAGTGAAAATCCTCATTTTATCGTCCATTGTATAATGAATATTAAAAACAAAGTATATGTATATTTTATAAATGGTGAATGTACGAAAGAGAAAGGGAAGGGGGGGGGTAACAACAGAAAAAAAAATCCTGGAAACAATTAGAGTAAATTGCAGTAGGTAAAATTTCAAAAGTACGATTCACACAGTAAGTATATTTTTAACATTGGTTTAGTTTTGTCCCGACATACGAATGCCCAAGATGGTGTCATACAATCTAGTCAGTGTGATGATGGACGAATGTCATTTATTTGTCTATAAGCACCGGTGCATATAGGCACACACAAAACTTGTATGCACGTGCACCTAATTTGTGCTTCTTGGATATTTTTTGTCGAAACTCTGAAAAGAAATATTATTAACAAGTTGTAAATAAATATTGAACTGCATGAAAAAAGAATATGTGTCGAAAAAACGTACAGATTTCGCGATACTGAGAAGACGTTGGGCAGCCCCAGAGTTAGATTTGAAAACAATGTCGTACAGAAGACCTTTTTGTTGCGTCAACAGGATGAATGGATGATCGAACTCCTTAATCAGTAAATATTACGCGTCACCATAGAAATTGTACTTATTGCAACATGGATTGTAATAAAGGTACAAGACGAAATGATAATCGAGCCAACCACTATGACGCCGGAATCCATGACGATGAGCCTGTCGCTGTCAATGACCGTGTGCAATCTGTGGGCAATCGTCAGGATCGTGCAGCTGTCGAATTTCTTTTTGACCGTCTTATGTATGAGATCGTCCGTGAAGGGGTCGACATTGGCAGTTGCCTCGTCCAGCACGAGGATCCGGGTCCTCCTGAGTACGGCTCGGGCTAGGCACAAAAGTTGTCGCTGGCCGACACTGAAATTCGATCCGCCCTCGGCGACCCTCGTCTCGAGGCCCGTGGTCGCTTGGTCCAGGCCTCGCCTCATGCCCACGTCGTCCAAGGCCTGCCACAGCTCGTCGTCCGAGTACTCACCGAGCGGGTCCAAGTTTTTGCGCAGACTACCCGTGAACAGTATCGGCTCTTGCGGAATAATGCTTATCTGGTACACACACGCACACATTACACGTATATGTAGCTTATACGCGTTTTAATCCATATCTCACCTTGGAGCGTAGCTCGGACAGGTTGACAGAACTCGTCGGCCGCCCGTCGATGATGATCTCACCTTCGAAGCTAGCCAATCGAAACAGGGCGTTTATCAAGGAAGACTTGCCGGCCCCGGTCCGGCCGACAATGCCGATCTTCTCTCGTGGCATAATCGTGAAGCTCAAGTCCTTGAGCACAGTAGCGGCTGCGCCGGAGGTGTCGCCGTACCTGAGCCGGACGCGCCTGAACTCTATTCGGCCGTCGGTGGGCCAGTCGGGGTGGGGAGCATCTTCGGTGGGGGCGAGCAGCTCCCGCGGCAGCCTCGAGTACTCGAGGACTCGCTCGACGGACGTCATCTGGTTTTCGAGCTCGGCGCACTGCCGGACGCCCCACTGGAGCATGTTAATGAGCAGCGTGCACTGGGTGATGGCGAGCCCGATGTTCCCCGCGGGTGTGGGCCCGTCGTCGCGGCCGAGCGCCATGAGGGCGAGGAGCACGCAGACTAGGTAAAACCTGCAAGAACAAAGCAGTAGCTACTACCAAACTTGTTGGTTTTTTTTTTTTTTTTTTTTTTTTTGTTTTTTTTCCCTTTACCAACAGAAGAGGTCGAGGTACATCCCGAGTCCACGGGAGCCCGAGAAAAATATGAAACAAGCCGAAGAGTGGAGGTCCTGGTGGTCGTCAAACTCGTCGATCATCGCGTCTCCAGCTCCGAGCGCCCGTATGCTCGTCAATCCTTGGAGGCTGTCGCTCACGTGGCCAAAGACCGGGGATCGCGCTATCACGTGAACCATCATTCATTGTCCACGTTACGTTACACATTTATACGTGAATACTCCAGGAAAGAAGCGTATATACGCAACGAGCAGTTACATTTATATAGCATTATATATGCATACACACATATTCACGAAGGATACGTGCTGTGTAATTTTTAATCGGATGCGATGAACGAAATGTTGTTTTTTACTTTATCGGAGAGTGGGAAAAAAAAAAAAAAAAATCTAAACTTTGGTAAAATTTACTTATCGCTTCGAGGCGTTTGATGCTCCGGCTGGTCTTGATGAAAAACAAGGAAAAATAGTAGAAAAAGAAGCCAACCAAGACTGCCGGTATGATCAGCCAGACGTTGACGCTACTGACGACGACGACAGCAGCCAACACGTGTATGGCGTTCTGAATGACGTCTATCATGGCCCGAGATACTTCCGTGTCAATGATACTCATGTCTTTGGAAAACCTTGGGACAAAGCTCGTTGTTCATCTGCAATTGGGGGGGGGGGGGAAAAAAAAAACACATGATATGTACCTGTTGATGATGCGACCCAAGGGATTGGCCACGAAAAAGTCCATGTTCGTGGCCACGACCCTGGCAAACATGTTGGCGTGAAGATTTTTGGCGATCCTCGTGCTCATCTCGAAGAACATCCACGACTGCAGTAGGCACAGCCCAATCGTGGCCACGGTTATCCCACCGTAAATCGACACGTACCAGCTCTCACGGTGGTGGTGGTCGGTTGCGCAAGTCCCGTTGTCGCACGGGCCCCGGTTTTCCTCGGCATTGACCCAACGGGCCAAAAAGTAGTCCCCCCCGCTGGCGGCCAATTGGTGCAGGAGACTAGCCAACACGACCAGCCCGACGAGGAGCGTGCTCCCACTCGCCCCGAAATACGACACGTAGATCCGCCCGGAGACGCTACCACCCGCCGGCTTTTCACTCGCTCCCTTGCCGTTGTCGTAGCCCGTCTCCATCCCCTGCCGGTCTTCCGTGGTCGGTGGCACAGCCATCGGTACTCGGGCCAACTCGTCCCATTGGTGCGGTGACGTAGCCGTGATCCCCAGCTTGGCGACTACGACCGCGTGGGCGCTCCGGTGTGGCTGGCGGTGCATCGCGATCACCCGGACGGCTCGGCCCATCAGGTCGAGCTCGAGTTGCTCGTGGGTGGCCAGGAGGACCGTCTTTCCCCACAAGAAGCCCTGGACGCAGTCCCGGAAGACGCTCGCCCCGACGAGGGGATCGAGCGCCGAGAGCGGATCGTCGAGCAGGTAGATGTCGGCTGCCTACCTTGATTGTTTCACTCCCTCGCTTTGACCATTTTTATGATGATTATAAATATGTATTTAAGGATGATCTTACGCGGTAGATGGCCCGAGCGAGGCCCAATCGAGCTCGCTGGCCCCCGCTGAGGCTCGTCCCGCCACCGGTGCTGGTGTCGCTGCTGCCGAGGAGGGTGGCGTCCCCGCGGCTCAGGTTGTCGAGGTCGCGGCGCAACCGGCAGACGTCGAGCACCTTGGCGTAGCGCGCCTCGTCGAGGGGCCGGCCGAACAGGATGTTCTGCTTGAAGCTGCCGGCAAAGATCCAGGGCTCCTGGGGGGCGTAGGACACTCGGCCGTGGACGCCCAGCTCCCCGCTGGTGGTCCTCAGTTCGCCGAGAAGGAGTAGGAGGAGGCTCGTTTTGCCGGAGCCGACGGGCCCCACCACCAGAGTCAGGCTCCCGCCGGATCTCGGGATTCGCAGGCTCACGTTCTCGAGGACGGGGTTGCCGGGAGTCCAGGCCGCGCTCGCCCCCCTGACCTCGATCATCGCCTCTGGATCACCTCTGCTGCTGGCTCCCGGGATGCAAGGTACCTCTTCGATCAGCATGAATTTTTGCACCCGCCTCAGGGACACCTGTGCCTCGGCTACGCCGTGCAAACCTTCCCGCCCAACCACATAATAATATTATATTACGCGCGCACGTGGCTCTTCATGACTATCAACGCTTCGTGTACGCACTCATGGGAAACAGCGTGTACATGCTCAGTCGGAGCACATCGTAGAATGCCGTGACGACGTACACATTTTCGGCGTTTACATCGTTGCCCAGCAATACGTACGCCAGTACGGTCATGAAGATACAAAGCCGGGGTATGTAAAATTCCGAGGCCAAACTCATGTCCGATATTACGCACTCTTTTTTCACCGACTCCAGTTCTTTTCTGAAAAGCAAACAACACGATCATCTTGACTCTCGTGTACAATATTTTTCCCTCCACACCTGGACGCCAAATGCATGCATGCGAAAAAACAACCGTAAATTCTCTCTGTTTATAGGGTATACCTACATTGTATACAGGATACGAGCATCTAAAAATTAGGACTTTACGTGTATAATCCCTACTTTTGAGAATTTCTTTTCCTACTTTTGGTTTGGTTAAGTTGGTACTTATTTATACTTTTTTTTCATTTCAACATTATTCATGTTACGTAAAAGTTAAGCGCCAAGTGTATAAGTAAAGTTATGATTGTATATTTACTTTCTAACTTGTTCGACGAGTGTCGAAAATGGCTTCTCCCACGCGTACATCTTGATGGCCCTGATGCCCTTGATTATCTCATTGGTCAGTACGAGGCGCTCGTCAGTTCGGGCCGTGTATTTGCTAGTCAGGCGATTCGTTAATCTTCCAAAAAGTCCTAAATTCTCGCGTCATTGCAATTTTTCTCATTACACAACATAATGCTTTGACGCTGTTCACTTAAACAGCACAGAGCAATAAATTTTTAATAATGTAACATGTTGGTATACACATATATATATACGTAAATTATGTGTGGCATAGTATATAGCTCCGCTTTCATACGGTATACATACAAATGTACACCATAATAACAATAATGATGATGATAATAATAATAGCACATGTGCAGTGATGTTCAATCATACAATGATATTCGTTCGCGGCCTCGTATGTGCCTATACCTATAGTTGAAACATCTCGAAATCACCAGACTCGGATCTTGAGTGTGCGAATCTGACAAGTTCAAGACTTTGTGCAATAGCGACCTCAATAATATGGACAAAGAAGACCTCCCTATGATATGTAGTTGGGTATACGAGCTCATGCAAACGAGTTTTAAACAAAAGCTCCCGTCACTTTTGATGTTTGCGTGTACATTTATTGAATATGTTTGTACTCGCAACGCAACATTAATACCTGTATTTGAAAAGCAAGAAGAAAAGAAAAAAGAAAAAAAAAAAAAAAAAAAAACAACTTCGTAATATATGTATACATGTTATGGGTGAATTTATTGTATTTTTCCCCATAGGTACTTATACATATATATTTTTATAGATGTACCTATGTGCGAAATTGCAATAAATAATGCGGTCGGGTCTCTAGTAACATTTGTATACGCGTACTCACCGAGAAGCGGTATAAAGAGCAGCTGCAGCAAGATACCGCTGCTCGCGGCAAAGCCAACTTCCCTGCAGAGAAAATAGAATACCAGGAGAGCTTGCAGAGGGCCCATCCAAATGTAGTGCAAATAGTACACCGCGTGATCGATCCTACTGACGTCGTTGCTCAGCAAATTCAAGACCTGTACAAGTGAACAACATAGAAATTCCAATTGAAGCGAGGTATACGTATTTTATACGAGGGAAAGGAGAATCCATCGCCACACCTGGCCGACGCTCGACTCGTTGGCGGTGAAAGTCATTCGGAGCACTTTCCTGTAGATCAGGGACGAGCACGCGACTCGTATCTTCATCCCCGTGTGCATCAGGCTCTGGACGCACACGTGCGATACGACGCAGTCGATGAAGATACCGGCCACCAGCGCCCCAGCCCAGCCGTAAGCCGCGCACTCGTTGGCCGGCAAGTCCGACTTGTTCTTTCCGCCGCTGCTCGAGTGACGCAACAATTCCAATAGAATGTACGGCCTGGATAATCTACGGGGTTACATTCGTATCAATGTCCCTCCCCTCCCCTACCCCGTCGCACTTTTTCAATCACTGCAATATACCTTACGATGAATTCCAATAGAAATTGGATAAGCCCGCCAACGAAGATTTCTCTTCCGAAGCATTTTATAATGACTCTCGCGAGGCTTGGACCTTGCCGGCCATTCAAATTTTCACATCTCTCCTGTTCCCTCTTCCACTCGCCGTGCATCTGCTCCCCGACATTGTGGCTCGAGTGCTCGCCCAGAGGATCATAGAGATCCGACAGATCCAGTTCCCGACGAAAACCGGTGAGGAATATTTCGTAGAGCCACCTGACACATCGGAAACGCGATTGAGATTTTTTTTTTTTTTTTTTCTTTTTTTTTTTTTCCGAGGAAAAATAGCCGTTCCTTCCTTGTACCCAAGGTGATTACAAACATGCCGGCATCACACAGCAGTACCTACTTCGTAGCATTCCTATACATGTATTATGCATTGTTGGCAGATAACGTATGAATATTTTTTCAAAGTACCTCAACGTCATTAAAACCATATCGACTTGCGAGATGAAAATAGTTTTCGTACGAGCATGAGTTATTTGCAGTATATATCATATTTTGTACCCACGTGAATATTGACATTCGTGCAAATTAAATGTTTGGGCCTTACGCAAAGGTGAGGATTGACAGCGTACTAGCGCCTTGTCTGGGATTCTTTCCTCTCTTCTTTTCACCTCCACCCATGCTACCGGCCACCACTCGATGATATCGTCAATGAGTTACTTGGCTTTCGGCATTACTTGTCGAAAATACCGCGCACCAAAAGGTGGAAAAAAAGGATGGACGGAATGCCGGATCAATCGAGATTTTGCAGCTTGAAACAAATCGAGAGTATCGAGATGCCAAAACAACGGTTCCGTAGTCAAGCGTTGGAAAAAAGGTGGCCTACCAAGTATTTGTCCGCTGTCGCGCTCTATCGAGAAAAGGAGTCCACGGCACACTGCGCGGTTTATCGGGCCTCTACCATAATATCACCCGTACGTGCATTTTATTACGAGCGCTGCTATCAGCCCGAGCCTGCCGACGCTCTCTGCTCTCCGTAGGTACGCATTACGCCCGTGCTCCCGCAGACCATTATATACTGCTTTTTCTCAGGTTCATGAAACAAAAGTCACCGCATCGAAAAAATTTTAGAGGAAGAAGCATTTCGTAGCCGAAAAAACAACAGATGCCTGTTGCATCACTGAACATGACTGTGGTAACCATGAAAGCGGTCAAGTATACCCGAGATTCATTTAATGGTATATACCTGCCTCAGGTGTAGGTACGTGGCACCCACTTGCTGTAATTTTCACTACAATGCAGCGGGCCGCAAAATATCGTGTCGATTCCCCTACTTACAACATAAACATACCGATATTTTTTTAATATGTGCTTGCACCTATACTTACACCAATACGTTAGGTAAGGGTATACATATATAATATGTGAGCAGGGAGCGGCTGCAAAGAGGAAAGTTGGGTCAAGAGAAAAGAAAGAAATACATTAATAAAGTGTGGAAATATGTTACTAGCCAGAACTGCACGTGCCTCCACTTGTGTCAGACACGTGCCAATCGTGGATTCTATCTCTCTTTTGTAGCGTGTGCTACTTAGTGGTTACATGACATTCAACGATGCGCATAATTCACACCGCGGTAAATTGCTCCGCCTCGCTCGCGATCCAGGTCTGTCATCCAGGGATTGGCACTTGATACATATTTGAGAAATACTATTTACTTCATACAGTCCGTACTTTATTACAGCGTTTACATAGGGGACGTAATAATAATACAGCCCGAGTTAACAATATTTATTTTATACATGCGCATTCATAAATCAACCACTTCAACACAGCCATTTATACATATATACCTACTTCTTCATAAATACAAATTTAACAAATTTCAAACAGTGCAGCTATCATTCAATATTTTTTTTATCAGGAATAATCGTCAAAAACGTAAAATCGCCATACTTTTGCGAGTACTTAATGCAGGTATGGCGGAATAAACAACATTCCTTGATCATGAATATTAAGTAACATTTTTTTTCAAACTGTAAGACTTGGCTATATTTAAAACGAATAAATATTTTTATTTTATTAGTTTTATTAAAGTGTGGATCTTTGACCACAGACTATGTACCACACAGAGTCCGAGGAAACAAGAGTCTATGATTTAAATTGAGAATTTCTTGACCTAGACATATTTAAAATCTTGAAACCACTATATCCACTTTAATAATGCAGTCATCGCTAAAAGGACGATATTTTGGGATTGTAAAAATCTATAAAATGTTTGGTTAAACTGTGGGTTATTGGGGCCACTGAAATTAAACATCTTATTCTGGCCCCCCAATATCCTGTAGATTCGCTTAATATACCACACAGAGCCCGAGAAGAAAAGTAGCTACGCTTTAAATTTGTAAATAATGCAGGCATAGCAAGATGCATCAGTGGTCATAAAAGTATTTATTATACGTTTAAATATTTGATCTTACCTCCTCAAAATGTTTTTGTAGATTACCTTACATGTTAACGAGCCCTGATAATCAATTGTACATTTGGAAGTTATTTGTAATTTACTGAATTACACAAATTAAGGGTCAAAACTACAAAACTTTTTTTAACTTTTCACTCAAAATGATTTTAATTAACACACAAAATTAAGTAGTGTATAAAAAAGACAATTAATTAATTGTAATCAGTGAGATGAAAAAAAATGTTTTTCACTATCATGTGGATAGTGTATATTTTACTGTCGTATAGTATAAGTACACAATTAAATCGCGACTTCTCATAGGTTTTGGACGCAACAATTAATATGTATGTTGGATTAAATAGTGTCCACATATTTTGTCTTGAATTCTAAGCGACTGTAGGTATGCATTTTATTTTAAAGCTCAAATATTACGTTGTCTATTGTTATTTAGTTTTTCGCTCGTTATCCACGAAATTTTTTTCTACGATTCTAATAGTTATTATTCTTATCTATTTTTGAACGAAAAGTGCAGTACAAAGGCTTGTGTAATAAAATATAAACATCGATTAAATTCGAGGCTACCAACACGTATTTATTATAGATTTTTAATGTAATAGCTACTAAAATAAAAATAATGTACCAATGCACTGGTCATTAAACTCAGTGAAGTTTACATTTTTGTGAATGGACAACAATTGTTAGTACATTATTGCACTGTCAAATATGCACTGTGTGAAAAAAATTTTTAATATCGCATTGCAGAAATATCAGTATCAAAACTTCAATTTACGTATCTGTTATCAGAAGCAAGTTTTAATTGGCACAAAAGTTACTTGAAGTTCATTGCCTCTACCGACGTATGCCTGTTGTGAATAACCAATTATGCTCTTAATTTTTAATTGACATAATTTTTTCATAAACTCTTGAACACAACAAATTTACTTATTTTATTTAACTTATAGAAAGGAGCTACGTTTGTGAAATTAATTGTATTTTTACATAATTATGAGAGATATCAGCAAGTATTTATTACATCACTGTATATTTTTAATAAGAGCGGGCCTACCTCATAAAACAGTCACATTTAAAACTTTCTTACAGAATACATAGCATTTTTATTGTAAAGTTAAGAAAAAAAAAAAAAAAAAAAAAAAAAAAAAAAACCCATCTGTTTTATGACGTAGAGTGAGAGTTCAAGTAATAAAACATTGGAAGGTAAAATTCGTTAATTTTATTTAATTCAACGTTTGACAAGACAGACCTATAAACCATACAATTATACAAATCTACCTCTCTTCGAGAGCAGAGACACAAAAACTCGGAAAAAGTGCAAGTATTAATTAGTATCGAAGTTGAACTCGAACAAGAGCTGCTATTAGAGAGGAAAAAAATACAGCCCTCGCGATATTAAAATATTCAGGAGATGTCGGCTTTAAGCCGAGTTTTTTTAGTTGTTGCTGAGTACAGACAGCAAACACCTACGTACTAACGTTGAGGTAAATAAAAAAATCTGCTTTCGTAAGTTGACCAAGTATGGATGGAGGCAAAAAGAATAAGGGAATAGAGAGAAAAAGAGTAAAACTCGATGATAGCACAAGAGCTTTTCAATGGAACAAACTGTTTATGTCAACGCTCGGACTTTGGCCTGCGAAACCGAGTGATTTTCTTTTCTCGGTAACTTTCGGCTACTTTTGCTACGAAATGGTTCTCGAGTACATAGATTTGTTGTTATTCATCGATGACTTGGAGCACGTGATCTTGAATCTTACGGAAAACGTAGCTTTTACCGAACTTCTCGTGAGAATGATAACGATGCGCCTGTACATACGCGAATTTGGTCAGTTGATTAGCAAAGCTACAAGAGATATCGAAGAGAACAAATATAACGACGAAGAAAGGAAAGTACTTATCGCTTATCACAAGAAGTCCAAATTGTACATGAAACTATTGGTCATTAACACTGGAATTACAGCAACGTCTTACTACGCGAAACCGCTTTTGGAACAGTTTGGGGAAAGTAAGTTTTCTGTTATTAAATTATCAGTAAATGATCAATGCATCACAATAATAATATTAAAATAAAAGGAAAAAATTGTAAATCGGAAATATAGTTGTAGAGTATTTTGGGTCGCAGAAAAATGAAAACACAACTTTTATATTTCTTCTCCCCTATCGCTTCCACACTTTCTACGAACTGAACGATGCATCTACGTACTTTTGGACGTATTTGTCCCAGTTGCCATTCTTGTATATAAGCTGGATGAGCCAAAGCGCCTCAGATTGCCTCATGGTCGCACTGGTATACCACGTTTCTGGGCAGATAGCTGTGCTTGCGACGCGCATCACAAATATCGATACCGATCCTTCAAAGTGCACTAAACAATTGCACGATGTTGTCCGATCCCAAGCGAGATTACTTCGGTAAATTATATAAATAAAATAATTGTATGTTTTTAGCTCGTGTTATTTTTGTATATGTATCCAAGGAATGCTAGTATAGGTATAACATTTAATAAGCTTACTGATCAATCACTACAATTTAATTTTCAAGTATGGGTAGAATTATTGAAAAAGCATTCAGTGCAATGTTGCTCAGTCAACTCATGGGTGGAACGATTCTCATCTGTATTCTTGGATACCAAATATTGGCTGTACGTTTCACACGGTGAAATTAATATCTACTAAATCTCATTTTTCCGCAATCAATTTCCTTGATTGGTTATTTCAGTGTTTGGCTAACGGAGAAAGGGCCATCTTGATTTCACTTGTTTCGTACATTATTTTGGTACTACTGATACTCTACGCATATTGTTCCATCGCCGAAACCCTTATAACTGAGGTAATTCTAAGATTTTTACTATTTGGGGTAGTACTGTCGGTACCTCGCTAGTCATGCAAGTACGTTGTTTAAAAATAATTGTGTAAGTTATACTTACACTGCAAACACCGGAATAAAAATTGTGAAAAAATTCATAACTTATCCTCATGATATTAAGTTGCTTACAGTGTGTACCAAAGGAAAAAAAAAAAAAAAAAAATTATGTTTGTGCAGAATAAATTTAAACATACAAGAAAAAAATTTTAATTGAAAAAAAGGTTTATTTAATCATAAGAAAAAACACTATCCATATATTCCAATGCTCAAACTATTTTATAAACTTTTTGTTTTTATAGATCCAAACGATAGTTTTAGTCTAATCCGCGAAACCTATAAACACGACAATGTCTAACTTTTTTTTTGATAACCACGAAACTACAATTGAATAATTTTNACACACACACGCACATTTTTTTTTTACTCTCCGTTTGGCAGTATTGATATTTTATTCATACAACACGTATACATACCAACAGAAAAAACACTATCCATATATTCCAATGCTCAAACTATTTTATAAACTTTTTGTTTTTATAGATCCAAACGATAGTTTTAGTCTAATCCGCGAAACCTATAAACACGACAATGTCTAACTTTTTTTTTGATAACCACGAAACTACAATTGAATAATTTTTAAGTAACTGTAATAGTTAGTCAATTTTCATCGATGACTGGACCATAATTGAAGTACCGACAGTGTACTACTTTAAATTTGTAGAATTATTCTACGGACAGGGTTAAAGCTTATGTGTAAAATGTATGTGCATATTTTTGCATGTACAAAGTATTGTACATGAGTAATTTTACTAAAATTTTAATAAATCATAATACTCACTAGTTAAAAAAAATTATCTAAGCATTATTTTGTAAGAAGTGTAGAAATACAAATAAAATTTTAATAATTGACGCTTTTGTCATTTTTTACGTTCTAAAGTTAAAAGCTTAGTAAACTGAAAAAAAAATATCTTAAAACCAAGAGAATATTAACGAAAAATAGTACCAAGTAAATAAACTTTCTTGAAACTAGATAATCTTTTTTTTTGAGAATACTTTCTTATTTGAAATAAATATTTTACAAAAGTAAGAAACACAAT